ATATTAAAACTAGGTATGCAGTAATGACTGTCGTAATATCTTTAATGCTTTGTAAAAAACATACATTCTACGCCAAGTTAACTATAGTATAGTCAAATAACTTTTTGAAACTGATAATCTGAAAAATTTTACTATAATTGTGGAAAACTGAGCCGTCAAATTACTGTCAGGATAGTTTATATATACTTAGGAGTGGATACCCGTATGTATTCTTTTCTAATCCAATAAACACCCATTACTTTCGTATCGTTACTGTACTCGTTACTTTTAATACAAGCACCTTGTTCATCACACGAATCATCGCCACGAATCTCCTTGCGTAAGGAAATGTTGGTTCGAACATACCAAGGCATAGTCAACAAGGCCAAGATAGCTGACTGCAATTTAAAAAAATGTAAACAAAGAAATTAACCCTTTGTTATGAATTTGCAAATATGAAAATATTTAAAATTTCATTAGAATTAGCTTCATTTTAGTTATTGCATTTTCGTTTTAATGTAAATGTGGAAATGCATACTTACACATAATAAAACACTAAGGCCCACTTGTAGAACAGCAGGTTATCTATATAACTTGAAGTTTACCGGTTAAATTGATAAATTGGCTTGCACAATCAATGGTTGGGTGTAAAATTAAAGTTAAGTCGTTAAATATTTAGGCCCACTTGCAGAACAGCAGGTTATCTATTTAACTCGAAGTTTACCGGTTAAATTAATAAATTGGCTTGCACAACAGTAGGTTAGGCATTAACTCAGAGATAAAAACTTAAATATTTAACCCACAAAATTTTGAGGGTTAAATTGTTAAGTTAGTGTCAGTTCTGCCGAAAACTAGAAATACAAATAAAATTTAAATTCTTTAAATTGTGAAATATTTTATGTAAATAAATGAAAAGATGAACGAATTGGTGCATTCTGACGATGATGAGGAAATCATTGATTACGTCAACTCAGATTTCTATAATAGATCAACAGCGGAGCGAAGTGATCATTATAATGATCTGCGAGAGAAAGCATTCCACAGGAGATTTCGCTTGCAAAAGGAAAGCGTTATTTTCCTTTTAGACAAGCTTAAACCGTGGTTAGAATGCTCAAAGAGGTTGGTACTTCGGCTCAATTTATTCACATTAAACATAATACTGACTTGTTCCATAGCAATGCAATATCTCCTATGAACCAGTTACTATGTGCATTGCGATTCTATGCTACGGGTAGTCAACTCGTAACGTGTGGGGACTTCATTGGTGTCCATGAGTCTACTGCAAGCAGAATCGTGCATAAAGTTACTGATGCTATAGCACGTTTGTACCCAGAATTTATACGAATGCCGACAGAGGTAGAAGACATGAGGAAAGCTGCAGTGAAGTTCTATGAAATTGCTCGATTTCCGCGGGTCATTGGGGCTATAGATTGCACTCATGTCAGGATAAAGTCGCCAGGTATGTACATCCATATGTAGGTACAATTTATGTATTTGCAACTAGCAGGAGTAGAAACTTGTATACTTAAGTTTACTTCAATTTCAGGAGGGGAATATGCGGAAATATATAGGAATCGAAAGGGTTACTTTTCAGTAAACACCCAAGCAATCTGTTCTGCAGATTTATTGTTTACCGATGTCATGGGTCTTCTCATGATTCTCACATTTGGGACAATTGTAATCAGAGCAGATATTTTGTTCAGGGAGCATATGGTGATTTCTGTTTGCTTGGAGATAGTGGTTATGCTCAAACCACATTTATGATGACTCCATTAGGAAATGTGAGTTCATCAGCGCAATCTCTGTACAATGAGTCACAGATAAGAAGTCGAAATACAATAGAGCGAACTTTTGGAGTTTGGAAAAGAAGATTTCCAATATTGTCCAGAGGAATCCAAGTGCACTGGAGCAGAGTACCTGGAATTATTATAGCTACTTGTGTTCTCCACAATATTGCTCGTCAACAAGCAGATCCGGATCCTGTTGTCGATGCTGAGTACCCTGCAATGATAGAAACTGTAGACAGCCGGAATGAAATACAAAATACCAACAGTTCTTCTAGAACCTCTCCAGGAAATCGGGCCCGTCAAGCGCTTATAGATCAATATTTTGGACGATTATGAATTTTATTGCTAAACAAACCCTCTGTTTCTCATATGTTGTTGAATAAACATATCCTTTAGTTTAACAAAAGAGAATTTGTTTTAATTTTTAGTTTACGGGTTTTCATTTAGTTTTTATTTTTGAACAGAGAAGCTTAAATGTAGTATATAAAGATTAATAGTTTCACTTGAATATTCACATAGTTTTTTCTTCAAGATTCGATCTTGTATCTGGACTTGTGAACATCGGACAGCCTTCATTTAAACTTCTTTTTACAAAGTTTGCCTATATTTTTCCAGCTCAAGACTTCTAATCGCCTCATTGTGCTCTAATTTCTTCTTCTTGTCCTCTATTTCCATTTGTCTCAATATCCGGTTATGTTCCCGCCTTTCTTGCTCATCGTATTCGTATCTTTTTTTCGCTTCTTCAATTTCCATTTTTCTTAATAGGCGGTTGTGTTCTAGTATTTCTTCCTTATCTTTTAATTCAATATCTATAAGTTCTTTTTGGGCCGATACCAATGCCATTTTTTCCTCGGCTAGTAATTTAAATTTACTGGCTACTGTTTCTTTAGCGGTTGTTTGCAATTTTCGTTTACCTGAAAATTTAAGGGAATTTTACATACACTGCCGGAAAAAAGTATTGGCACAGCGAATTTTGCACAACATATGCACCAATTTGTATTATAATATTTTTCCAACAATTTTTTATAAAAATATGGTTCATTCCACAACAAAAACCATAAAAATATAATTTCTAAACTTTGTGCAAACCTCGCGAAAATTCAATAAATTTTCATGCCAATTTTCAACTTTTTAATCAGATTTTTTAGAATTTTGTGGAGTATGCAGATTTGTAGCCCAATCACTTTTATTGTAATAAACTAGAAGTTCTAAGTAGCTGCGAATTGCGTTGATTTTTGGCAATTTTTTTCACGCAGTCCTTCCATACAAAAAAAAATGTTCGAAAATACTTTATATGGAAAAAATGCAAAACAACTTCAACAAAAAAAAATCTCAAAAATCAATACGATTCTTGACTAACTCTGAACTTGCATTTTTTTATACTAGATTTTAATGGGCTAAAAAACTGCATACTCAAAAAATTCTAAAAAATCTGATTAAAAAGTTGAAAATTTGCATGAAAATTTATTGAATTTTCGCGAGTTTTGCACAAAGTTTAGAAATTATATTTTTAGGTTTTTTGTTGTGGAATGAACCATATTTTTATAAAAAATTGTTGGAAAAATATTATAATACAAATTGGTGCATATGTTGTGCAAAATTCGCTGTACCAATACTTTTTGCCGGCACAAAGTTTGAAATATGAATTTAAATGGTTTTTGTTAGATAATGAACTATGTTTTTATAAAAAAATAATAAATGTATGTATACTTACAGTGGTGGAAAAATAAATAGGCACCCGATATTTTAACAAATGTTTCTTTTATTTATTTAATATTTATTATTTTTTTATAAAAACATAGTTCATTATCTAACAAAAACCATTTAAATTTATATTTCAAACTTTGTGCAAAAGTTAAGAAAAATAAAATTTAATGGGCTATCAAACTACATACTGATAAAAAGTTTAATATTTAAATGCAATTTAGCAGAATTTTTTTAATTTTTGCACAAAGTTTTAAATATGAATTTAAATGGTTTTTGTTAGATAATGAACTATGTTTTTATAAAAAAATAATAAATATTAAATAAATCAGAGAAACATTTGTTAAAATGTCGTGTCCCTAATTTCAAAGTTGGAATAGGTATTAAAAATCAGTTAAACCACAGAAATTGCAGATAGAGGGTGTTCAATATAAGCCCTCGATCTGATAATTTTTCAGATGTGAACAAATAAAATCTTAGAAATGGTGCAATTAAACCTTACAAATATCTCGACGCTATCGTTTACTTACGTGCCAACAGAGGATGAGGATTCTTTTTTAAATTTGCCCTATCACTTGTGAAGTATTCTTCCTTTTCCTCTTTTTGTTTCGGTTCTTGTATGGGAAGTTCATCTGTATTAAAATTAATATATCACAAATCTTAAGATAATTAAGAAAAATCACCTTCAAAATTTAAATCTGCTTCGATAGGTATTATGCCCTCCTGAGCTTTGATGAGGCTGCTATCACCATCATAAATTGTATAGCAACCGTCAATGGCAGGTCCGACTAAACCCCTCACCTTATTAAAAAGGGGGTTGTCGACACACTTAGCCATCGGTCCTCCACCTGACATAAGAATATTATTTATTCGTAACTATACACAAAAGTATAGCATATTTAAGTGTACATATAAAGAAAACTACTGACCAGTACCCATGACATTTTTTTTTATAATTCTTTCTTCCGCTTCCGACTCCTTGATAATTGCCGAGAAAGCTTCCTGGCAAGCGTCCACCGGTGCACCTGTATTGCTGGCAACTTTCTCCCAACCATCAGGAGACGTACCGTACTCCTCCACGTTTTCAACTACAGTAGTCTTATCAACTAAAAAAATTTAGATAATAGCATTACAGTAAAAAGAAATTCCAAAGTGCTTGATATTCATACTCGGAATACTCATTTTTGCAGAAGATGCGTTTTTTTTAGTCTTTTTTTTTAAGTTTTTATAATTTTGTTGCAAACTTTCCATGGTGCGGCAGTATCCTGTGGAAATCGAATTGAATTCCCGCGTCACGTCTATCCACGCCTTTTGCTTTGCTAAAAGGCTGGTGCCATCGGTTTTTTTATTTTCTAGGATATGCTTATACTTTTCAATGCAATCGCACAAAAGCAAGCTCTCGCTAGTAGCAAAGTTAGGAGCCCGAACGCGTTTAGTTTGAGATTCCATGACCAAAACAAGATAGTTTTAACGAGTTGAAACTGCAGTAAAATAACTACGAAAAAATTCAATTCAATATAATGTAAAATGATGTGTGGTTTTGCATACCTGTAAGAATGCAATTATCACTTTGTAAATCCAATGGTGAACAATTAAGCACATACATATATTTAATTAGAAGTAATCATTTTTTTTTGCATTCTATTCTGTTATTGAATGAATATTTGTTGAGCTTTTGGCATTATTATTTTTATTTCAAACATCAAAAAAATTTCAGTATTCAAAACAAACGACAAAAACGGTTTGTGATGCCAACAAAATTAAAAATTGCCCGACAGTAACTTCGTTTACTTAACTCTGTGTCGATTTTGTTAGCTGCAAGACATTGTCTGAGTTAAATAAATAAAAGTTTAACTCTGAGCTACTTATTTCTCTATTTATATATTTAACTCTGGATGTTCTGCAAGTGGGCCTTAGCCCAGCAATTTTCGAAGGTTAACTTGCTAACTCTACATATGTCAATTCTGTCAGTAACAAGAATAATAAAATTGGGATTTCAAAAATTTAAAAAATATTTTTGAACACATGTTTTCATACGCACATACACACATATGCACGTATTCACGCCTTCAAATCGAGGTTTCGGTCAGTCTCGCGTAAAAAAATATGTATATGCGATTTAAATGCACCGAAAGTGTGCAGTGAAGAAGTGTCGCTGGCCAATTTGCAGAGAAATGAGCTGAAGATCTTCATGACGCAGTGTTCTTTTCAACTACCATGGCGTGGATTTGATACATAAATGAGTACATATCCTGGTCAAGTAATAGAAGTCCCTCTTAAAGTTGATGTGCTTGGACAGGCATGTGTATTGATCCAACCATAGCGAGATCCAATTGTATTTAATATTTGCCATTCTTTAGTTTTTCTGGTTTTAATAAAAATTTTATATTTAATTTCAAATAATAAATATAAAAAATCAAAACAAACGTCAAAAAAAGAGAGTGGTGCCTACTTAATTTAGAAATCCCTCGGGTAACTTAACTCTGAGTCAGTTTTCAATGCTGCAAGACATTGTCGGGTTTAGAAATGTAAAAATTTAACTCTTAGCTACTGAACTCGGTATTTATATATTTTACTCTGGATGTTCTGCAAGTGAGCCTAAATGAAACACACTCATTTATAAAACCGTTTTGGCAATTTTCTAGCTTTTAGTTTTATTATTTTTTTATTCAAATACTTAATTCTTAAGTATATTAGACATTAAAAAAGTTTAATTCTTCTAAATTTACATTAGACCTTAACTTCAATAGTTTAGCAATTAAATTTTTGCAATTCAAAATTTCCTTTCCATTAAATTTATTAAAAATTATTTTCAGTTTCTTTATGTCAACAAGGAATTCTGGTTTAGGTTTTATCAGACCATCATTTTGAAATTTGGTTTATCCATGTATATGAGTGGGAGATTTTCTCTTTATATTCGGTATGATAAATCCTGCACCTGAGAACAAACGTGTCTGCTTAGAAATACTCGGCTGCGATGGGCAACAAGTAAAGTTAGTGGCACTAAAATAGTTTTCGCGCATACTTGAAGAGTCTCCCAATGAAACATCGCAGCAATTTACCCACCGTTGTAGCTTCACTTGACAATTTGGAGGTTTAAAATAACGCATAAGTTTATTGTTCTGGCTCCAGCCAAACACAACATACCGCCCGTAATTCCTTCTCATTTTATTTTGTATTTAAAATTAGTCGCACAGCTCACAATGAAAATTTAAACTAAAAAAATTAAAATTTTGAATAGTATAAGGTTAAAAGTTGACATTTTAGTTGCAGTTCAAAAGAGAGAAATGTCGGAATCACTTTTACCTTGTTACGCCATGATACATACATATGAATGCATGAACGCACATGTACACGCAATGCACTTTTTTATTACCTTCCTTTTATTAGCTCGGGATGTAACTATGTAATATTGATGCGCTTAAAATATGCAGCGATTTCTATTCCCAAGTTACATACCTGATGACAGTACGAATGGCAATTATAATAGAGAGGTTTTAGTTTTTTAAACTATAATTTTATTATCGATGCGAACGTTCATTTGTACTCTGTTCTTATTTTCAGTAACAGGCTGCAATTCAAACTGTAAGTTCGTTAACGTTTTGCTTACTAGAAATTTTTGTGGACTATCGCCGAGGTCTACAGGATAGATGTACACCGTACGGTAGTCGAACTAACAACGAGAGAAAGGAGAAGGCATCACCCAGCAGACTATTCTAGGAAAAGAAAGCACTGCCTATTTTCCCTTGCAAGCTGTTTTTGAAATGAACACGTCCTGTTTGAACCCAGGCAAGCATTGTCTAGTTGGGATCCTTAAGAAGAGAGGATATATCCAACAGCATCAAAGCTCCAACCGGTCATTGTCTTGAAGATAAAGATAAGGAACGTCGTGCCGTTTTATGACTGCCACAGAAGATAAAATAGCTAGGACGGAGAGGAGGACAGTTTTTCAATCTCTATTTGATTATCCTTTCATTATAATTTCAAACTTTTTTTACTAGAAGTGTTTTTTGAATAAACAGTTTTATAGCCCATTCAATTTTAGTGTAATAATGTTCAAGTTTCAAGTGGCTAAAAGTTACCGTTTATTTTTTAGAATTTTTTTACCGAAGTTGTGCAGCGCTGCTACTGAATTTCAAAATACGTAGATATCTTAAGGAATTTTAAAAGAGCACTTAAAAGGGGAAAATTATAAGTAAAATTGTAAATGGGCACGAAAAATTTAGGTACTTAGGCGGGTTGGGTAAATAAGCGGGGAGGTACTTAAGAGTGGGATTTTCCTCAGATTATATTAAAAAATGCACGGTGTCCAAAAATGTTGGTTACTTAAGCGGGTTAGGTATTTAAGCGGGGGGTACTTAAGCGGGGTTCACTGTATATTCTTCACTAGTGAAGTGTCTAGGGCAAAGGTCCCCAAACTTATTTTTCTCGTAGACCCCTTTCAAAACAGAAACCTGGGTGAACCCCTGATGCTCATCTCTAACATATTCCCAAAGCTCACCAAAAATATGAAGATTAAATCTAGCAATGTAACTTTGCGTAGCGGGTGAGTTCCAAAACTAAATTCGGAGCGGCAAAAATAAAAATAAAATATTTTCTTGTTTTCTATTTATTAAAATAATGTGATTAAATACTTGCAAGTTTAAAAAATCAGAGCTCGTAAAGCCATGAAAGAACTATTTCATTCAGAGGAGTTACATTTTTTAAGAACACTAATTAAACTCCTCACATGTTCGGCTCATTCATGAATTTGCATGTGATGTATTGTTAAATAGTTTATTTGTTTTGATGGCATAATTTTTAATTTTATCGCTCCGAGTTTTAAATTGATGCGAAAAATATTCGTCAATCGCATTTTTAAAATACAAACCTTGAAACAGCAAAAGTTGAAACAACAAAACTGCTAAGCTTTTTATGCCAAGCTTAAAATCCAGAAACTGATAAAAAAGAAAATACAGAAACCAGATAAATCGATGTTAAATAAACAAGCAAGCAAGAAGCTCAAGAGTGTTCCTCCAACTCATCCTCTTCAAAGCACGATGGACAAATGGAGTTGTCATTTACGTCTATGATAGTCACGTGTTGAAGTGACCAGTCAGCGGTCCCGTCCCGTTTTGCCAACCTGCATCCACTCGATGGCTCCCAGTCATTGCTGAGCGAAGTATCCACCCGATTTCTGATGGTGGCGTCGATAGTCGAAGTGGGCAGTGCTATAACTGGTTGCGTATCGAGGAATGCCTAGCCTAAGCCAACTAGGCCAAAGGGTCAGATGTCTCATTTCCAGGAGTTGCTCGGCACCCAGAGTACAGGAAGTTCGTTACTTTTACCAACATTATTTAGTGGAGACTTGTCATTACCAAACTAGTTTCCAAGTACTTAGATAGAGGGCTGGCCAATGCATGCCTTAACTACAGCTTGGCTGCACCTGTTGACACGTAAACTCCTGCCACTCCACCTATTGTCCACCACGTAGTCGATGGTTTTGGGGAGTGCAAATACCTCAGCCTGGAAGACCGAAGCACATTTTCCAAGAGAAAAAGTGAAGCTTAGATGCGTTCAGAAATGCATCAAGCCAATGCACCAGTCTCTTTTACTTCTAAACTATAACTGATGGAAATGCCTTAGTTACGCAACTAAGTTCCATTTAGGTATTTAACCGTAGTTGCGCACATTGGACATTTCCATCAATTATAGTTTAGAAATAAATGCGTATGATGCTTTGGCTTGATTCATTTCTGAACACATCGCCTATCCCAATTAACTTCGGAAAGTACTCCAAATCCTGACCTTGGGTCAGTTTTGTCGCCATCAGTGAAGATTCGACAATGTACGAGTGCGGGCTCAGTGCTGGAATTAAAGCAGCAATTTCCGCATCGCCTCACTCAGTGTTATACCAACATCCTTTTCATTTTAGTCCGCAGGTGGTCTACAACTTAGAACTCGTGGAGCCCCATATTTTTTCATGCCAACGTAGACCTCTGTCGAGTCTCCCGTTGAGCCCTGCGGGTTCACCTGGACTACTGGTCTAGGGAAACGTCCTCCTTAGCTAGCTCGTCAGCTCTCTTATTACCTTCCACACCACACCCAATATAGGTGAACGATTTTAACC